TGTTCATTGAGGGCTGATTTTGTTTAATTCTCAAACAGGGCAATTTATTATTATTAACTTTCTCAAACACATTTTAGTTCTTGTTGCAGCAAATTATAAAGGAAACAATCAAAAGCAAAACTAATATCCAAGCCTTATATGTTTAGAAGTGGTGAAAGTCACAATAGACCAAAACACTTCAGTTATACTATTGTAAAATGCAGAATAACATGTGTGTCTCTGGTCATCAATCTACTATTACACTATCATTAAGCATTGTTGCTATTATCTTGAAATAGACTTTAACTTATTATTAGCAGACGACCGACTGATCAGGTGGCCGCAGACATAGCTATCGGCAATATAAATGTGGAAACTGGAGAAAGAGTGCGGAATTTTCCCATGCCTTCGGCTGAGGTACTGTACTGTCTTTGTGTTGATAACGTAAATACTTATTGTAATCTTTTAAGATCCTAAGTTTAACAAGTTACACTGGCGTTTAGAAAATTTCATAATGCAAATGGTTTAGTACAATGGCTTTTCTATGTACATGTACATTGATGATTGCGTTGATAATATTATTTTTCTTATAAGGATGGATGATACTGTTACCTTACATAAACATATTAATGAAGTGTTTTTTCCCATTACAGGCAGGACTTTTTCCAGTAACCTTGGGTGCTGTGACCTCTAATGGCACTCCTGGGCCTCAAGGATCAGCACCCAGACAAGCCACCAGTTCACAAGTGCTAACTGTAATTGAGGTGGACACTAATGGAAAGTTTCCATGGACCGTGCCATGCTTACCCGTTTTAGTCATTGACTGGACAAAGGGAAAAGTGAGCTGTGGTGGTCACGTAAAGGAAGTACTTTTCCAGAGTTCAGATCCAAGGCTTCGGTTGTTATCAACGCCTTTTGAAATAACTGCCTCATCAACTTGCATCATTACCATTGATAATACCCAATACACTCTGATTTGGGAGTGGGACTGTTTTGACTATAATAGTGAACAATCTACATCCAGTGCAAATTCCTCTTCTGGTGATGAGAACTTAGTTGAAAACGTTTGTCAGTTGGACATTGATGATGAAGAAGAAGAGGAAGAGGAAGAGTTTGTTGTTCATACTCTTCCTTTTAAAGTAATGGGTGTTGTTTACAAAACTGAGAGACAGAATCACCTAAAGGCAGCATGCATGAAAATGCAAGATGATCCGAACTTTGTTGTTAAAGCCATGATTGAGCCAGATCCTGACAATGACTTTGATGCAAATGCTATTCGTGTTTTGATAGACTATGGAACAGGATTTAAGCATGTTGGCTTTATAGCAGAAGAGCTAACAAAATATGTCCATCGTGTATTAAATTCTAGAAGACTACAGAGTGCATCTGTATATCAGATAAAGTTCCGCACCCAGTGGGCAAAATTAGGGTACTACATGACATTGTTTTTATCTTGCAAAGGTGAATGGCCTCCTCAAGTTGTACAAGCCAGTTCTCGAGTACAATAATATTTTTACTAAGTCTTCAACTGGGAATTTAACTTTTTCATCATTTTCATCTATTCTTCTGATAGAAAATTGTTTGGTAGTTACATTAATGTTGAAATTTACAATAAGTTTAAAAACACAGTACAACTAATTAGATTTTTTTTTTCCTAAAAAGTGGTATCAATGTTACGTGGTTACTACGTTCAAAGGCTACCACCATGTTGTTACTTGACATTTTAAGTGCATTAAATTGTCCTTCATAATTTTCGAGACTGTGGGTAATGCTAAATAGACTATAAAACACACTTAATGAAATGCAGCATTGTGATTCTGAATAACAACTGCATGGAAACGACTATTAAAAGTCAGATAAATTCATTGGAGGAAGTGTCTCACTTGCTGCATGAAATTGAGCCCTAACAGTAAGCGAACCCCGTTGAGGCAGATTGGCACGGTTTGCCACAAACACCCCTGGATCAGCTCTACGTGAAATCACTACTCGATCTAAGCGTTCAGTTCCTGATTGAGATGGCTCATTGAAGCTCGGCAAAGCTTTCAAATGAAAACGCTCATGGATGCCAGTCCAATAGTAAAATGGGAGATCAGGATCAATCCGTTTGTTGAATTCATTCATTATTTTTGGGAATTCTTGCTTAAATGCCTTGTGATCAAAAATTGGTCCAAGCAACTCGTGGAAAAGGGCAATTGTTCCTTCAACATCATCAGTGGTACTTGCCCTGGGGTTTTCAGGGGGCAAACCTCTTGCCTCACCCTCTGATCGTCTCAACTCTCTGCTCTCCAGGCCTGCCACCAGAGCAACAATGATTTCTCTTGTTAAACCTTGAATACCCTTCACTGGTCTGCAAACATTCAAGGTAATAGGCAAAATTAATGTTTTTCAAATTAATAACATTGAAAATACTTTTTGCCTAATCTTTGTATTAAAGGTTTGTTCCTTAAAATCTAAAAGTGATTCCATTAAGTCTATTGGTACAGCTGTATTGACAGTTACTTGAAACCAAAAAAATGAAAAGGAGAACTACAGGTAGATTTATTGATGTGCCATTTTCTTTATTCTCCTCATTCAAAAAAACCCCAAGCTTCCTTTTCTCCAACCCCGGAGATTGGGCCGAGTGATGGCGGAGTAGGAGCACACAAAAAGCCGTCCGCCTTCCAAAAGTTCTTTATGGCCGAAAAACTGTCTAACTATATTAGAAAACGCAGAAATCGATCATCGACAAGCTCCGGAGGCGAGACCTCGCCATTTCAAGAGGCAAAAAAGCCCAGAGATCTAACAGAAACAGAAGACGAAAGCACAGGTAGCGACCACGAGACAAATGACGAAGTCATGGCGGCTCTCGACAAAATAGAACACATCGGAGAAAAACTTAACTCCATCATTGATAGACTGAGTAAACTTGACTCAATCGAAAGCACAGTAAGAAATATAGAAACCAATTTGACGAATCTCAAGGCAAGAACAGCAAAGCTCGAAGAGTTTCAAGCAACGGCCAAGACTGACATAGCTGATCTAAAGAAGTCTTGCAGTTTCAATACTGACAAATGTAAGGAATATCGAGATGATTTAAAAAATAAGATTGACGAGCAGAATGAAAGAATTACCTCTCTGATTGAGAGTGAGAAGAAACTCAACCACCAAATGGACGAGATCATATCCAAGAACCTTTATCTCGAAGCTTACTCCAGGAGAGAGAATATTAAATTTTTTAATATTCCTGAAGCACGAGAAGAAGATACCGAAGAAGTTCTAAGAAGTTTCATGGAGAGAGATCTCGGATATCGTAATGGCCGCAGCGTGGAAATCCAACGCGTACACCGTCTATCAAACCGACGTAACAGCAACACAGCTCCACGTCCTATAATCGCCAGATTTCTTCGATATAAAGATGTCGAGGAAATTTTCTCCTTGGGCCGACGTCTAGAGGGGACCGATTTCCAAATGTTCCGCGATCTTCCATTGGAAATCATCAAGCGCCGGAAAGATCAAATGACTGTTTTCAAACAAGCACGACGACAAGGTATGAGAGCATCTTTCAGCAAGAGCCAGCCCGACAAGCTGTTTATAAACGGCAGTTTCTGGCCTCCGGGCAAGTGCCTCGATGCAACAGAAGCAGCTGAGTAACTGTTTTTCATGATTGTACCTCAGAACTTTACTCTCCTTTTTTATAAATTTAGGGTGGCGGGCGGCTTAGCTGTCCCGACCGGTAATAACTACTCGACCAGGTTTTTGCTTTCCTTTACGCGCCCGCTAGCCACTCGAAACCCCAATCTGATAAGGTTTTTTTATAGTTAAATTGTTTATGTTTTGTTGTGTTATTTTTGGTTACTTTAGCTGTTTTATATGTAATTGTTTGTGTTTCCGTGCCACCAGTTTGTTTTTCGTAGTAGTACAATGCTGTTTTGTCGATTCCAGTGTGCATAGCTTTATAAACTACATCGATAAAATTATACCTACAGCTTTCCGATGCAATCTTTTCTTTCAAAGCTTAAAAATTACAATTTTTGAGCTGTATGCAAAACACCTTCGCTCGGCCATAACGCTGTTATTGTCGATTAATCAAACAGTGCAGTTATCTATTATATCCCCTTTTTTTTCTATACAAAATAGATAACAATACTATCACGGTAGCTTCTCTCAATGTACGGGGCCTTGGGAATAACGTTAAAAGAAGAGAAATTTTTAATTGGCTCAGATCTAAGAAATACTCGATTTACATGCTGCAAGAAGTACATTGTTCGCAAGAAAATTCACACCTATGGGCTGCTGAATGGGGGTACAAAAGTCTTTTCAGCTCATTTTCCAGCAGCAAAGCTGGGGTAAGCATTCTTTTCAACAATAATTTCGATCTTCAAATTATGAAAACTTTCATCGATGACTCAGGGCGCCTTATCTTGTGTGACTTAAAAACAAATGGAAAAAGTATAACCTTAGCAAATATTTACGCGCCTAACGAAGATGATCCAGCTTTTTTTAAGAATCTCCTTGATCACCTTGAAGATTTCGAAGGAGAGGAAATTATTATTGGAGGCGATTTCAATCTCGTCCTTGATGTAGAGAAAGATAAAAAAGGTGGCCTGCCCAGAACACATCACAATGCGCAAAAAACCATTTATGAGATATGCGATAACCTCGAGCTTGTTGATGTTTGGAGAATATTGAACCCCGAAGAAAGAAGGTATACATGGCGCCAAACACAGCCTACTGTCCACTGTAGACTAGATTTCTTTCTAACAAGTCAGAGCTTTCTGGGTAGCATTACCTCCGCAAACATCCTACCGGGCTTTAAGACAGACCACTCAATGATCACATTAAATATATCTCTGCATTCAAACCCAAGAGGACCTGGTTTTTGGAAACTCAACACATCGCTTCTGGCCGATAAGGATTATATCGATTTGATAAGGTTAACCATCCAGGAAACAGAGAGCGAATACGCAAATGATAAGTCAATAAACCCTGCGCTCCTTTGGGATATGATCAAACTTAAAATTCGAGAGAAATCTCTTAGCTTCGCTACTGCCAAAAAGCGTAAAACTTCACATAAACAGCATGAGCTAGAAGAAAAAATCGCCTTACTAGAAAAAAGAACTTGAAGAGCCTTCTGTCAGCGAAACGCAAAAAACAAATAAAACAGAACAACTTGAGCTATCCAAAAGTGAATTAGAAGAGATAATTAAAGTACGTACCCAAGGGGCAATCTTGAGATGTAAAATTAAATGGTACAATGAAGGCGAAAAAAACACTAAATATTTTCTAAACCTTGAGAAAAGACATTTCAAACTGAGTACAATAAGCCAGCTTAAAATCACCGATCAAAAATTTATCACATCTGATAAGGAAATCCTTGCTGAATGTGAAACCTTTTACAAAGAGCTCTACACATCCCAGGAAAATGTGATACCAACAGACAGCGATTTTTTTCAACCTGAAAACGAAACGTCTCTGGACGACAACGAGGCAACGAGTTGCGAAGGATATTTAACCGAACAAGAGTGTCTTAAAGCTTTAAGAAGCATGGATCGAGACAAAACCCCTGGAACTGATGGACTCCCTGCCGAGTTCTACAAAATTTTTTGGAAAGACTTATCTCCTCTTTTAATAAGTGCACTCAACTATTCATATGATAAAGGAGCCCTTTCGATCACACAGAGACGCGGAATCATTAAACTCATACCAAAAAAAGACGCAGAACCGCACTTCATTAAAAACTGGCGGCCCCTTACTCTCCTCAACTGCGACTACAAAATAGCCGCGAAAGCTATCGCAAACCGAATAAAATCTGTTATCCCAAAACTTATCAATAACGACCAGACCGGTTTCCTAAAAGGAAGATTTATTGGAGAAAACATTAGATTGATAGATAACATTATAAATTACGCTTCTCAACAAAATATCCCTGGGCTATTGCTCTTTGTAGATTTTGAAAAAGCCTTTGATTCGCTTGAATGGTCTTTTATTGAGCGCACGCTCCAGCACTTTGGTTTCGGCTCTTCTTTGATAACCTGGATTCAAACATTTTACAAGAACATCGAAAGCTGTGTCCTAAACAATGGCTGGACGAGTTGTTTTTTTTCAACCACAAAGAGGTGTTAGGCAAGGTTGCCCTCTTTCGCCGTACCTATTTATACTATCTGCTGAAATTTTAGCTAAAGCAACCAGATCGAACAAGAATATTAAAGGAATATCTGTAAACAACTCAGAAATTAAAATTAGCCAGTATGCAGATGACACAACTTTCATTCTTAACGGTACTAGAGATTCATTATCCGCCACACTTAAGATGATCGAGGCTTTTAGCAGTATGTCTGGTCTCAGACTCAACAGTAAAAAGACTGAAGCTCTATGGATTGGATCAATGGCAGGAAATAAGGAAAAACTTCTTCCCGAGAAGAATTTTAAATGGCCAGAAAACAAAGTTAAGGTCCTTGGCGTTTGGCTTTCTACCTATCCTGATATCACATTAAGCTTAAACTTTAGGGAAAAAGCGGACAAAATTAAAAACATATTAAGCAATTGGAAATATAGGCGGCTAACGTTACTCGGCAAAATCCAAGTTATTAAAAGCTTAGCAGCATCTCAACTTACGTATATTTTAGCTCCGCTGCCGACAAATCATAAAATTATCAAAGAAATAAACGATCTTTTCTTCAGCTTTCTTTGGAACAATAAGTGCGATAAGATTAAGCGAAGTGTCATGACAAACGACTATAACAATGGAGGGTTAAAAATGATTGACATCGCTTCATTTACCAAATCGCTCAAGACTGTTTGGATCAAAAAATACCTCGACGACTCTAACTGCGGAAAATGGAAATACTTTTTTGAAGTAGAACTTAAGAAGTACGGCGGCAAACTAGTCTTCACATGTAATTTACACAAACGTGACATTTCAAAGTCGATATCGGTCCAAGACCCATTTCTACAAGAAATTTTAGAAATATGGTCAGAAATTAATTTTGATGCTAACATCAAAACCGAGCAGCAATTCCTTGAACAACATATATGGCATAATTCGCTGATTAGGATCGAAAACAGACCGGTCTTCTACAAACATCTTTTCCTGCATGGAATCACTAAGGTAGCCCACTTAATGACAGACTCGCGGAATTTTCTCTCCCTAGCAGATTTTATCAGCACTTACAAAATACAAATACAACCCATAAAGTACTTCGGCTTAATTTCTGCCCTTCGACATCATTATAACACTAACTTTCTTAGTAAAGAACCTAGTAGCACAGACATTCCCAATACCTGCCCCGAGACCTTCTCCGAGACTTTTTTCAAGAACGATAAAGTGAACAGAGTTGTATACCAGAAGCTCCTCTCTTCCAAAAGCACTGTACCGTTTAAGAGCCAAGAGAAATGGAATGACAGCATTAAATCCGACCAAAGATGCTCTGCTGACTGGACCAGCGCCTATTGTCTGGCAGCTAGGTGCACAAAAAGCACAAAACTTGTAAACTTTCAATTTAGACTCCTTCACCGAATTTTACCAACGAACCTTTTCCTAACAAAAATTGATATAAAGCAGGACCCGAACTGCTCTTTCTGTACCATCCATCCCGAAAACCTAATCCACCTCTTCTGGAACTGTACAATAGTAGCCACCTTTTGGGAAAATTTGACTGAAAAACTAAAGCAGATCAATCTAATAACGATAGATTATCCAAAATACACTGCTGTATATCTGGGCCTGAAACCAGACACCTCCAAGTTTTCACTTCAACTAAATTTCTGCTTTCTCCTGGCAAGATATTATATATGGAGCTGCAGGGTCAACCAGAAAATTCCGAATTTAACAACTTTTCTTATGTCCCTTAAATCGCAGTTTTACACAGAGTCCAACAACGTTGATGCAACTTCTAAGAAATGGAATCCTTTACGTCCACTTCTCAACATTACATAGCTTTTGGTAAAATAAAAGCTTTCCTATGTATCCATTTTCTGTAAATGAACCAAGGCCAAAGTGCAATTGAGAGCTAGACATACCGCCAATATTTCTTAATTAAAGTATCTATTTCACATATCTTTCCGCACTGTTTATTAATCATCTTATTAATCATCTAATTATGCATATTTATGATTTCTTATTAATATTAGCAATTGTTGTCAATGTTATCTCAAGTAGTTATTGCTAAAAACCGTTTTAGGCAGAGGAGTCGCCTTTTTTCTTTCTTTCTTCTCTTCTCTTTTCTTTTCGTTTATTTATTGTCTTTAGTAGTCCTTTTGTTTGTTGTAAACTAGTTTTAGGTATTTTAATGTAAGTAAGTAGCAAACAAGTAAGTAGTAAAGCTGTAACGTAAGTAAATTTTGTAGTCTTGTTGTAAGTAAGTACCGTGTAGCTGTATTGTAAGTGAATGCCAAGTGTGATTATAAAATAAAAAAAAAAAATAAAAAAAAAAAAAAAAAAAAAAAAACCCTTAAAATCCCAAGAGAGGCCAACACGATTTTCTTCCCATAATGTGAGTATATCATCATGAGAAATGTTTATGAGAATTAAGAAAATGATCAGCAATAGAAAAGTGTCAAATTGTCTTGAATGAGAACAGGAAAATGTCAGTATAGATATTGAGGCATTAAGGGTTACTATCTGGTCCTTAATGAGTTAAACTCTCCGTCAGTTACAAAACCTAATACATAAAATATATATAATCAGCGTGCAAAGAAAGTCATGTCCGATAGCCTGGGGCTAGTGGATATTGCTATCAGGATAATGATGTTTGTTTTTTAACTTGCCAGGGGGACAAGTGCTGTTTTCTGGGAAAATTTTAATTACAGAAGGATTGTAATCAATCCTGCCAATCAAAAAGGGTTTTGGGGCTACTTGAGATGATTTGTGGGCAAGATCATGCTAGCTGTAGCTTAAAATGTACATGAGACTGGTATATATATATATATATATATATATATATATATAAAGTGGCAAAGAAAACATACCCACAACTACCATCCCCAAGTTTTCCATTTCACGAAGTTGCCTAACTTTTGCATCTTTTATGCTCTTGAATGGCAGGGCTCTCACTGGAATGGCATAGGGCTTCATGTCCCTGCGTTCATCAGCCACCATGAAGATCATCAGATGCGTGGCCGCTTCCCTTTTTTTAGAGAACACATCTTTGGTGTACTGTGACAGACCTTTCCTTAATTGTGCTAAAGTCTGGGGAAGATTTCCTCTCTGATTAGCAGGCCCTAAACACTTGGAAATTATGCTGCTGCATCTGTTTTGCAAATCATGGTTCAACGATTTCAGGGTTTCATAAGCATTGACATCCCAAGCTAGAGCAAACAGGCTGCTCTCTGGGGTATTGCTTTGCTTTCTTTTTTTTTCATAAATTTCCTTTGATTTCCTGAGACCTGATTGCAAAAACTCAGAATCATTTGTTAGTGTTTTCAACTCTTCCCTCAAGTCCTGGATAACAACTTGCAAGGGCTTTCTTTTTTCTAAACCAATCCCTTTAATAAAACTTATCAACTGCATGTATGTTTGGTGCAGTTGCTCCAGTTGTCCGTCTCCCGAGTCTACATCCCCAGACCACTCACGGCGCAAGGATTCCATAATGCCGGACCTTATATCACAGGCATCAGCTTTAATCCACCAACGCCCATTAGGATTCCTCTGTTTTGCAGTCTTCAGTGCCTCTATCTACAGTTAATTACAGATGACAACAAATCATTCCAAGAAAAGAAATGTAATGTCTCTATTTGAAACTAAATATGTATACACATCATTAAATGTAGGAAGAATTATGATGAAATGTACTCTGAGGTCTAGATGACATCCAGGTCCAAAGTCATGACAACATGGTATGCAATACACTGTCAGACGTACTGACTGATTAATAATAATTATGGTTAATAATTAGACCGGTGCATAACATTACAGTTCTTCCTAAAGCACACTGTCATATTAATGTCTCATATGTAGCCCGTAACATCTGTATATATTGCTTTAAAGTCTGCAACATTGCCAAAAATGGCAACTTTGATAAAGTGCAATGTCATTAATACAAAACTGAGCTTACCTGGATGCTTGTGTCCCTGGTGAAGCCTTTTTGTTGGATTCTCCTCTGAAGCTGTCTTGATGAGAGACCAACAACATTAACCTTGGCCTGCAAACAAAGTGGGCATGTTAAGGGGGCAATTATATCATTTTGTACTTATGGAAGAAGCTTTCTCACATACCATGCATAATACTTTCTAGACCACCTTTTACATACATGCTTTTAATAATAACAATCAGGCAGAAATAAAATAAAATACAACCAACAGCCCTTTACAAAGGCCTCAATATGACACCACACTATTGACATTGATCATAATCAGCCCACATAACCATATGATATCACCTTCAGTGGATCACGCTTTGCATGCTTGTGCTTCCTGGTTCTTGAAGGTCTAGCATTGTGGAGTTGCTCTATCTGGAGTGGTGAGTCAGAAGCTTGTTCAAGCTCTGCCATGTCACTAACACTCAACCCATTCCAAAGAGTAGATATTTCTGGGGATGGTTCTATGTCTTGAGTGCCAGTATTACACATTAGTTCTTCCAGACCTTCAGTTTCCCGGACTGCCTGGGACAATAAATCACCCATCTCATCAAATGGTCTGTTGAAACTGGTTGATGTAGGCTCTTCTGATTCCTGGGTGATAACATTATGTAAACTTTGAGAAATCTGCGGCTCAAGGACAGGTGGGACATCTCCTTCCTCATCTGAGGAATCTCCATCATAACTCCACATTGGCCCTCGGTAGAGTTTGTCCCATTTGTGACCAAAGTGAGCAAACATTGTCGTCAACCATTCAGCATAGTGCTCACATGGGTGGAGGTTTGAAACATTATCTTTGGCAAAGAATTGGAGGTTGTGGTGGATGAGACCAAAAGGCATACGGTCAAGTGACATCCTTGGCCCACTTCCACCAGGTCTTGATTCACCAACACTCCTTGCAAGAAAGTAGAGAGTATTTTCCTTTCCAGCGACTTGTAGGTTTTTAAAGGAGCTTCCAGCCAATTGCAGAAAGTTTGCAGGTACATAACCATCACTGATGCCAACATCATGGGCAAGATGAATGCAAACTAGGTAGGAGAGGAATTGTTCCCTCTGCGATCTGGTCATTTTTAGAAAACCATTCATCATAAGTTTAATCAAATCACCAGTAGAAATCTCTGGGTTAACATTCTTGAGAGGAGACTGATGAAATATGGGTGATAGATTTCCTGACAGATTGCGCAGGGGGGATTTAATGGGTGTAGAAGTTGCTTTTCCAGCTGCTGCACTACTCTCTTCCTGTTGCCCTTCAAAGTAATCTATCTTGTAGAAGTCCTCTGCTTCCTCCAGTGTTCTAAACTGGTTGACAAGATGTCGCTGCACTTTGCGGCGACAAGCCATGCCTAAAAATGTAACAAAAAATTTCCATTATTGCAAATGGTAAAATGAAATATCAAAACTGTATCCACGCTTGGCTAGGGTGGAGTAAATAGAATATACTCCGTATTAAACAATGTAAACAAACATCCAGCGGAAATATTGTGAGACTCTTAAAAAGTGAAAAAAAACTCACTACTTCTCGTGGGTAAACCAGAGTATTGTGCAACTGCAGCACTACAGCTGTCCCAAAAATCCCAATTCTTGTGGGTGGGCCAAACAGATGGTCCATCAGGGTCATGATACAAGGCAATATATTGAATCAGCCCAGCTAATTCTTTGTCATCCCAAGGAATGGATGCTGAAATTGAGGTGTCCTGCAATGAATTACAGAATTTCTATCAACTTATCCGAGTAAATAATATTTGCGATACTAAGGTGCCCCAGGGTTTGAAAATACCCTGTTAAGTGCTAAGGTTTTCAAAGAAGACTGTAAATACCGTTTTCGTCGTGACATCTTGGTTGAATAACAAAGACTTCCTCGATGTGGTTTCTCCACGTTGACTTCTCCTGGACTTCTGAGGAGGCTTATCAGGAGTATTTCCCGAAGGAGGGCCTAACGGCCGCTTCGATGACATATATACTACAAAAAATATCATTTTTAAAGACGAATAAAAAGGGGAATGAGAAAAAGAATTCTACGAAAGATCGACGAACGATCGATCGTGACCGCGCGAGTAACTTCAAAACACTAAAGATGCCGCGAAATGGGAGTCACGATTCCCGCACATAGGTAAACTTCAAGTGGCATTTTGACCCTTAAAACGGCGGGGCCCGCTGGGGCCCGCGGACCATTTCAGATACTTGAACAACAATACTAATAGATTATGCTAAAAAATGGAGGTCAGGGGTCGTTGAACACAGAGAAGATATAGGCTGAAAAGCAGATACAATAGCTCTTAACTAAACAAAGGGGTTATGCGGATCAAGAATTACAAAGAACAATATCAATAGAAAGCAAACATACCTTCGATTGTTTTAAGAACTGCGGCTTGCTACAGCTGTCTACTCAAACTTTTCCAAAAAATGTAATCGTAAATCAGTCGACAAACGGCAAAAATCGGAGAAAATCGAAGGGACGACGCACAAAAGTAAAAAAAAAAGTAGTCCGCCATCTGCAGTAGCGTGATTGGACAAAATTGGTCACGTGGACCGTGTCCAACACCGCCTGCTCCTACCCAGCTAACCTTCCATGTAACTTTACTGTACATTTGGTATTGAATCCACTCTCTTCCCTTGAAAAATGAATCCGCATCCGTATACTTAACAAGCGTGCACTTTCTTCTGATCTAGGGCATTTGAGTATGAAAGTGAAATATAGTATAATCCTACCATTGTTAGACAGTTCCTTTTATTGAGAAACCGTTGTCTCCTTCTTTTCTCCTTGTCTGCCTTACTGTGAGCTTGATGTCTTTGACTCCAATAACATATTTTGATTCTTTTTCCAATAACGCCTCTAGTGGGTAATAACACACCACCTGATAACATCATCTCTCTCACATACTTGACCATCTCAGTTCTCACAGTCTTGAACATGCGAACATGGGATGTTACAAATTTTAAATTATTGCAGTTGGCACAAATTGAGTGTCTGTTGAGTAGTTCTTTTGAAGTCCCCGTGGGTTTTGGCATCTTGCAAATCATTGACAGCGTTCCAAGTAGCCTCTAACATCTTTTCCACGGTTTTCATGCCTCTTATTTCATCTTTCATTTCTGTGCTGAGACAAGATATTTCTGCCAAAGAAGTTTTCCATCCTGTCCTCAAAACCTGATAGTTTATCCATTATTTGTGAGAGATGAGTGGTTGTAAGCCTCCACTCCGTCACTCAGCACTTGATTTGTTTTCAGATATGGCAGTGATTGACACAAGGAACTTGAAGATCTCCCTTCTGTAGAGTCTCTTCGACAAGCTCAAGTGATGGTTGCATTTTGGCCTCCTGATCGATGTTTCTTACAGAGCACAAAAAAGACATCTGTCCACCTTAACCTCGCAAGCAGGCCTCCAAAAGGAAGAATTAACTCATAATATACACTTAACAATGATTGAACAAGAACTCTCTAAATAGTCTGCATAACTCTTTTTCATCAAGGCCTGAAGCACTGCGCACATCTAAAAGAATATAAGGATACTCATTTGTTCCAAGAAGATTAACCGCACTACTAGTTGCTGATGGTACTGGAGGTGGAGACTCTACTGCCGTAAGAGCTGGGGCAGGATGGAGAATTTGCCCAATGTCCTCCCTTAATTAAAGCACTTGCCTGTGGGCTGCAGATGTCTGTGATGAATGGCTGCTGACAAAAGGACTGAAAACGGAATTGCTCTGAACAAAAAGGCTGAATGGCAGGGTAAAAGGACCAGAAAGAGGCCTCTCTTGTGAATATCTGAAACGAGCTTGAGCAGTACTCCTCGATTGCATTTTTCAGCCACAAAGCTTGGAAAGGGCCCTCCGCTCAGTAGAACGTAGCTTCTTTTCATCCTTTTATTTTATTTATTTATTTTTATTTATTTATTCCTCCAATTCCTAGCTGATACATAGTTATGTAAATATAACTGAGAAAAATAGTAACAGATAAAGATTTACAAAGGAAATAAACGCGTAAAATAGAAATTACAACACTTAAATTGAATTACATTGTATATTGGAAGGAGAGGAGAGGGGCACATCTAGATAAACTAATATTGTGCCCCTTAAAGTTATGTATAACAAAGGACTTAAGATTATTAATAAAAAAGGAAAGGAAAAAAATGACAAAATAGCTCAGAAAGTTATAGAAGGGATATTGATTCATTAGTATTGAGCCAGGTACCAGCCTAAAAGTGCTTTTTTAAACATTTTTTTAGATGGTTTGTCTCTAATGGATTGCGGAATATCGTTTCAAAAGAAACTTCCAATAATGCTGGGGCAAAATCTCCGAAGATTAGTTCGAAATAAAGGTATTGCAACTTGATTGGATGATGCACTGCGGATACTGTAATTATGTAGTTCAGATACTAATGAAACAGGTATATTAGGAAACTTTTCATGGTTGAAATAATCATAAAAAAGCATACATGTGTTCAGTTTAACAATACCAGGAAATTTCAGAAGGCCTAAGGATGTGTAGTGTGGAGTTATTGATTCCATTAAAGGAACATCATTTATAACACGAACCGCTTTGTTTTGTAACTTTACGATTTGAGACTTGGTGATATCGTTCTCGATTTGGTCGATTCTTGTGATAGCTTCATGCAGTTGTCCTGTTAATACCTCCAGCTTTGTATCCAAAGATTCCTTCAGTTTTGAAATCAACCTTTCATTTTTCTTGATTTGACCCTGTAGAGATTCAATGTCTCTTTGAATCTTGACTTGAGTTCCTTTCATTTCTTTTAGGTCGTCACTTATTGAACTCAACCGGTGGCGTACAAACGCCTCAAAATCCTCTTCCACAACTTCTTTTTGCTTTCCTCTTTTTGAAGACATTGTTTGTTACTTGTTTGATTAGTTTGTAAAAGAAAAAGTAAGATTTACGTGAGAAATTATGTCAAGTTGGCAGAGCCAACAAAAAACGCGGCCATCATGCTCGCTGACCGCTGACCGAGGGTCATCAGCAAGTTTTTCAGAGTCGTATTCTTCCACAGCTATCCAACCAGCAGGACTTTTATCACCAAACAAATGACCTTGCTTCGTTTGTTCAACTGCACCTTTAGGTTTTTCTCACTACTTATTTATTACTGCAACAAGATTACCTTCCAAGAGCACGGAACAGGCCATGTTAACAAGTTGTAGAAGGCCAGAATTGAACTCAAACTGAACTTTATTGCCTTTTAACTGAAAACTGTTTGCCACTTTTGTCTTGCTTTTTAGCTCCTTGAACTGGAAAGTTGTCGTGATCTCCTCATCAAAACCACATTTATACTCGGAAAACTTCTAATCCAGCATCAAATCGAAGAGACAATAAGTCAGCTGGACAATCTCTGTGCTGGAGAGATTAGGCTCTACGTTCTCAACTCCGAGGATTCACGCCTTGCATCATCCATAACAAAATTAATAAAGTGAGATGTGCAAGTTGCTAAGAGAGATGCCATCGAGTTACCTTATCCTGTAGCACTACCACGAATCGTCAGATTTTTTTTAAAAACCTACCCCCACCCCTCCAAAAAAATTCTTTTTAGCTCCTACTTAAGACAAGCCACCAAAAAATCCCAGAATCGAAAATTTCAAACCCCAAAATATCCTTCGATCATCACTTGAAATCCGGGTACCCATTGAAGTTGTATTGATGTATTTTTACCCTGTGTGCTGCGAAGCTACAACACCGACAGAACCATAAATATTTCTGAATCAGCCCGAGGTCTATTGTTCTGATTTTCAGTTTTCACCTTAAAATGGCGATTTATTACAGTTATGGAGGGGTTACCTCATACATAAAAGTTATCACTGAATAACAATTCTCCCCCTGTATTGTTTATGTTTAAATGAATGAGGTCGAATTCACAGAACGATATTTGTGGATCAAATCACTTAGACGTTCCGCATCTCCTTTGTGAACTGCAAAACAGTAATTCTCCAAAAAACGAACATTGTAAACAT